TTTTAAAACATTAATTATTATCTTACAATCAATGTAGTGAAATAATTTGAAAATTTTTATGCGACATTCTAATGTTATGAAAAATATTTATTTAATTTTTCGACAAAATCGTAAAATTATTTGTGTAATGTAATGAAAAAATTATTTAAAACCACGATTGTTTCATTTATTATTTTAATTCATGTTGGATTCAGTAATAAGTAATTCGATGATTACAAATTCATAAATAAATTTTTTATTCTTATTTCCAAGTTGCAATATTAAAGACTAGTTTCGAGGTATGGCTTTTGTGATTTTTTGCTGTTTTTTATCTCTTGTTCTTCATCCATCAGCTGAAAGAATAAAAATTATGAAATGTGATTAATTCCACACGTTTCAACAATTCGAAAATTTTATAGTTATACATTACACGACAAATAGATAGTGCAATATACTGAAGATGGAGTTTTACGACAAGTAATTGGACTTCTATTGGAAATAATTTTTACTTAAAAATTTTGTTTTTATATTTCGATGTAATTAATAAAAAACTTGACTAATTAAGAGTTCCCTATAAAAATTGAGAATCCTTTTTTTATAAATTAATAATAGTCGTTTTAGTAGCAGAATGATGAAAAAAGTTATAATAAAGAGTGATTCATACATGACGAAATAATAAATTTTTAGCTTTCCAACAGTCTTCAAAAGGGATTGAACTAAATTTTGGTTTTTACATGGACAGTTTGTCGATATTCAGAGACAAATAAACATTTTCATTATTTCAGTTTCGTTTCAAGTCAAGGTGAAACAAATTTAATGACAAATTATAGCGAACATTATTGAAAATTATTGAAAAACTTGAAAAAAAGTTATGAAGCTATAACTTTCATCACGACAGGTCTTACAAAGGTATGTTATATTATTGTTATTAAATGATTAATTATAAATAATATATTTAGTAAATGATATACAAGTATCACTTTGTACACTGTTATAGAAAAAGTAATCCACTGATCCGAGGTAAAATGGTTTTATTTTTCACGATTTTTAAATAGTGCGTAC